CCCAGGGTGGTCCGAGAGCAGAGCAGGCCAATTCTGCAGGCGGATGATCTCTAGCATCCCTGCACCCTGCTGCCCAAGCCTGTCTCAGACCCTCATCCTACCCAGCATCTTGGCCCAGCTCCTTCACCGAGAGCCCGGGGGCCAAACCATAAAGCACTGACTGTGTGTCTGTGTGCACAATGACTGTTCCTTTTGGGAGGGGTCTTTAGGTTTTTCTTATCAGGGATTTGAGCTATAAGAGGGCTTATGGTGGCTATAACAAAGTGGCACATGTCTGGCAGGTGTCTTGCCAGTGTGTTTCTCCCATCCCTGCCCCAGTTCTGTGGAAGCACAGTGTAAGTCAACATGGGCAAAACCCACCCATATTTAAGGGTGGGGATGTGGGCAGCCAAGCCTGTCCCAGATGACTCCTTCCCACTAAGAAGCCACCTGGCCAGACTGCCTTCACCAGCTCACCAAGGGCCACTGGTGGCCAAGTCCAGAGAATAGCTGGTCACCTCCATCCCCCAAGGGGAAAAAGGGAACCTTCAAGGCTCTACCATTGAAAGGGCCAAGCCAGCCCCCTCTCTTAGAAATGGGTTTCCTTTATCTGACAGGCAGCTCTCCCTCTTCTACCCTTTGGCGACCGCATGCTTCTGGTGTCTTCTCACCTCAGGGGGCAGCAGCGTGTGCCCCCCGGCTCCCCTCCTAGCACCCAGTGAGCTGTGGGACCAGAGGACTGGCCCCTGTGCTGCCCTCCCTCAGGGTTTTGTTTACATCGTCCTGACCTCACGCTTGCTGCCACCTGAGCTGCGGGAGAGAAGCTCCACCCCTCTCCCCAGAAGGAGACCTGATGCTGTCGCCTGAGGCTCTTTCACTTGAGTCATTAGCAGTTTCTGCTCTCACCCTGTCAGTCTGTTCCCAATTCATCAGCTCTGCTGAGGAGCCTCCTTCCCCCACAGCTGGGGGAGGGAGGGTGGGGATAGGGTGGGAGCCCGGAACTCTCCCGGGCTCAGGGCCCACTCAGGAGCCAGTCTTGCCTCTCAGCGGCAGTGAGAGTCCCATGAGCCTCAGAGCTGCGAGGATCTCAGGGGCTGAGAGCCTGGAGGTGGATAGGAGTGGCTGGTTAAGTAGTCACTTCCTGGGGAACTTCCAGCGAGGGGGACCCGGAGGGAAAGCCTCAGCCCTGGCCTCAGCAGGAGGTGGGCCTTGGAATGGGAAGGAATGTGGTCGTCCCCCAGAGAGCTCTCAACAGTCCCTGCCATGGCCTCTGATTGGAGAGACCCTTTCACAGGAAAGTCCAAAGGCTAGAGACCCCCTTCCTCATCAGGGTGGGTGGGTCCTGGAGGGGTGAGACCAGGAGCCTCTATCTTACTGAAGCGAAGTCCTGCTGCCTCCTCTCCCTTGGCAGCCAGGCCTGGGGTGTTGGAAGCAGAGGTGTCTGGGTGCTGGTGATGAGGGGAGCAGCCGGGGTGAGGGGACAGATGTTGGGGGAAAGTGAAAGGGGTCGGGCGGTGTTTGGGTTAGAGCCCAGGTCCAGACCAGGGGCCCACAGACGCAGCCTCGAAAGGCGAAGGGTGCTGCCCCGTGTGGGCAGCAGAGTAGTGTTTCTGCCATGTTTCTCAGCCGCTCCCTGGCAGCCGCCCCCCACCCCCGCCCCCAGGCTCTGCAAGTCCCCGTTGCTCATTCCAGTTCTCAGAGCCCTTGCCTCTCCTTCTAGTGGAAAGACTCACACCGTGCCATGTTAAAGGCCGGAGCATGGCCTCTGCGAGTGTGACCCAGGGTGGTTCAGTTATTCCAGCATTTCTGCCCTTCAGCTGCTCCTGATGCCACCTAGAAATCTGCATGTCAGCTGAGTGCTCACACGGTCAAACTACCTCATTTTATGAGAGAAGGAAAGGAGACCCAGAGAAGGCACGTGGCTCAACCAAAGTCAAACAGCAAATTAAAGGTCACAATGCAAGGACAAGAGCCCAAACCTCCCACCTATAGATTTTCCCACTGCTCAGTGCCACCGTCTGGCTCCGGAGGCCCAATCGGAGCCAAAGGCCCCTTGAAGAGCTCTAGAGCCAGACTACCTGTGTTCGGATCCTGGTTCCGCTAATTCTAACAAGACCTGTGCGCCTCAGTTTCCTCTGCGAAACGGGTGACATTGATCCCTGCTCAAAGCGTCGTAAGGATTAAATGATTTAATACTTAGAGATGTTTAGAAAGGCACCTGGCACCTAGTAAGCATGTAAATTTGGGGCTAATATTTTCATCACCCCTTGTTCCTATGTCTGTCTGTCTGTGGGAGCCCCTGTGTGGTCGTCTCCCCGACATTCCCTCACCCTCTTCCCACTGCTCAGCTGGAAAGCCACTTCCCTTCCCTGCTCTGACAAGCCTCGCTACTGGGATAATCTTCTGGCCGTAGGATTGGACTTGACACGCTGTCACGTAGAATCAACTTCTGAGCTACTCCCGCCCTGACAGCACAGGGCTGAGGGGAGAAGGGCGAGGAAAGGGTGGGGGAGCGGCCCAGCTTCTGAGCCGGGGTCAGAGCAACCTGCTTGAGGTGAGGAGGACAGAGGTTGCTGAGAAGAGGCATCTCGCACAGTGACGAACCCTCCGCCCCCCCGCCCCTTGCAGAGTGCCAGTGGCCCTACGACAGTTCAGTTCAGCGTGGTACGGGGAGGGAGGCGGGGTCTCAGAACCTCTCTGGCACCAAGGTCCTCACACAGGTTCTGGCCGGCCGTAGAATCGCCAGGGAGCCTGCTCGGTTTGTTTTTCTCTCTCTGGGACCCTTATAACAGATCCTAGTTTGGTCGGCCCGGAGTGGGCCCCAGGCACCTGCATTTTTAATAAGCACCCCTGTGGCTTCTGGAGCCTGTGGGAACTTGGGAACCACTAGATCAGAAGAACTTAAGAGCGCTCTTCTCTCTCCCGCCCCCCACCCCAGGTAGGAGGGTCCCAGGGGCCCAGCCTGACATGACGAATGCCCTTTGGTGACCCCGTACTCACTCTCCCCAGGGAGTGACCCACTTGCCTAAAAGTCCCTGTCCTGGTATCCCACACGCAGGTCTGGGCCCACTATGAGGAGCAGCCCGTGGAGGAGGTGACACCTGTGCTGGAGGAGAAGGAGCGCTCAGCCAGCTACAAGCCGGTGTTCGTGACCGAGATCACTGACGACCTGCACTTCTACGTGCAGGATGTGGAGACCGGTGAGTGCTCAGGCCCAGGCCCAGGCCCTGCTGCCTCCCAGCCTCTGGCATGCATGGTCCAGCCCGCCTCCGGGGCCCCTCTGTTCAGTGGGAGGGAGGGGCACAGCCCAGGGGTTTCAGGGGCCTCCCCAGGATAGTTTACAGCTACTGCCCACCCCTCAGGCCCCATACACCGCTCTCTGGGTCCACGGGTCATTTCCTGGCCTGCAAGTAAACCCTGGAGTCGGTGGGCCGAGCGGGTCCTCTGAGGACTGATGAGGTAACCAGTTTTGTCTGGGTGGTGCCCTGAGACTCTTAGGTAATGGCTTTTCTCCCAGACACCCCTGGCTGGGCTGGCATGAGGAATCGTAGCCCTCGGAGTCTATCAGGAAGCAATGAACAGATTGTCTCTATGTGGGCAGGAAGCACAAACTGGCATTGCTCGGCCCCTCTCCCCCTCAGCTCCCTTGGGAAGGCAGGCAGAGGAGGGGAGCCTAGGCTGGTCTCCGCGGGGGCTTCTCCTTCTCTAGAGGTTACCACGGCCCTGAGTGGTAACCAGTTCCCATGGAAACAGGCAGCACTCTAGGAGAAGTCATCCCCGGGCAGTCTTTCTGAAGGACCCCCTCTCTCTGTCGTCCTCCTTCCTGTCCTTCGTGTTGTGCCCTGTGGCCAGGGTTCCCTAGGCAGAGACATCAGGCTCCTGGAGGACAGAGGGCAGGAAAGACAGCTCCGTGAGCATCTGCTCCGTGGCCCCTCTGGCGCGACTTCCCACCTCCACAGCCTTTACCCTGCCCTCCCTCCTCTCGCTGCCGCCTTGTTCAGGGCAGAGGAAAAGCCCTTAGAGCTGCCTCTGGGCTGAGCCGGATCCTCACAAGGCAGAGGAGGCTGACGATGTCACTGACACTCAAGGCAGCCCCATGAGGGGCAGGGCGCGGCTCTGCCCAGCCTCCTCAGCCCCTCCCCCTACCCATGCCGGGCGCACTCCAGATCACCAACAGCCTCGTCTCAGCCACTTCCTCTCTAGTGGCATTTCCCCGGCAGCTGCTTTTGTGGCGGTGTCATTTCACCAAGGGAAACTGACCATTCCGAGTCCTCGGCTGGCTATACTTGGTGGGGGATGGTGGAGGAAGCCGGGGCGGGGCAGAGAGGGTGCCGATGAGCCTTCAGGATTAGGTCCTCTTGAGGTCAGCTGCAATCCTGGTGAGAGCTGGGCCAGCCATTGCCTGGAGAATGG